CAGGCATGTCGGAATTATGCGCGAAAAAAATCAAAATTATGCGGAATTTTTTCCCTATATTATGCGGAGAAAAGGGTGAATTATGCGGAAAATTATGCGGGATGACGTCATCACAGGAACGTAAACTTTGGGAAATTTTACAAATTTTTAAGTTATTGCGTTTCTTTTTCATGCAAAACTCCGTTTTTATCTTAGTTACGAAGTACAGAAGGCAGTACCAACAGAAGGAAAGATCTTTTTAGACTTTTTCGTTCTCGCACGCTTGACATCTCACTTGTATCATACGCCATATTGGAATTTGTCACGTGATCTGGTAAGGCACAGGGTGACCAGTAATGCTAGTGCCCAGACTCTTTTCTATGAAATTTTGAACGCCTGGTACATTTGTGAARCCGACGAAAACAAAACTATATTCGGAGAATTATAAGCATGTTTGGGAGCGTTTTTTGATAAAAATAACAGTCAATGGAACACAAAAAACATTAGTAAAAGGCAAGTCATCTTAAAAAATGGTATAACATGGGACAAAAAACACGAATCATGCGCGATTATGCGCGATTTGGTAAATTATGCGGAAAGAGGGCAATTATGCGCGTCCGCATCCGCGCATAATTCCGACATGCCTGATTATCACTGTTTTCACATTTTTTAGGTTTTTCCTAAAATGATAACAATTTCTCGATGTTGGAGTTTCAGAACATTTGGCCTTGTGTCTATATTTCCCGATAAAGCACTCCTGCACATTTTTTAAACACTACATAATATTGACTTACTGCTACTAGCTGCTCGTATGCTTCTTCTTCAGTAGTGTCATCTTTCTTGCTACAAGTAAACTGGCTTAAATTTACAGCACAGTTTAAATGTAATGTGAGCTCACAATCTAAACAAAACAATTATTAAATACATTCAATACATGAACCCATGACCCTCTGATAACATTTAGACTATTTTTTTATTTGTTTTTCTGTAATTTTGCTCGCAACTTGGCTGCAAGATACTGTGGACCAGGCAGATTGGGAAATACCAGAACGCGTGCTAGCCAATCAAAGCGTGCRAATGACTAGGATACCAGACTGGGAAAAAAATGGCTTTCCACTTATAAATATATATTCTCCTGACCTGTTAATATRAAATCTATTTTATTGAATTCAAGGAAAGGTAAACAGTAAATAAGTCGTTTCACCAATGTWTGTACCTTGACACTTGTAATACTCCTTACTATGACCCCAAACAAAGTCTTCACCTACAGAGCAATAATGTTAAAAAAACAAAGCTACTTCCTCATACAATTAAAAACAAAGTTATTCTTATTTGTTTTGGGTCCAATAGCATGCAATGGTCACCACCAGCCTGTTTACTGGCATGATATGCAACTGAAGTATAGCAATTGGAGCAACTATCTACATGTAGGAGACTGCTTGAAAGTGAAAAAGGTTGTCTTGGTTACAAGTGTCTCATAGTATGGTCAACCTAGGTGAGATAAAGCTTTATACCTTTCTTTGAATATTGTAGCTGAGTGTTTTACTCACTACAGCTACAGGTAATAGGGTTATTGTACTAGTTACCCTGTTTATGACAACTGTTTATGACAACAGTCTGTTGACTGGGTCTCACTTGTTGACATTTGATATCAATGATGTCATGATAATATTATGATGTCATGATGATGTCATGAGGACTGGTAATGATGATATGATAATATTATGATGTCATGATGTCATGAAGATTGGTAATGATGATGTCATGATGAC